CAGTTTGACTGCTTGATGTCCAGGAGTAAAGAAGAAGATTTTTAAAGATTGCATGAATTTTAGTGGTTTTAGCCCCACCCACTCACTTGAGCTTTCAGCTCAGGCGAGTTAAGAACTGCGAACGATAGTATTGTTCTCCCACCTACCTCCAAGTTAATTTTCAAAAGTTAACATATTTGAATGATTTTTCATATTTATATAGATATTTACATGAATTTTCATAAAACATTACTTATTTGGGAAAACAAAGAGAGATAACTCTATAATTTTGGTAAAATGTGTGTTTTTTACAATAGAATTCAGTGGAAAACGGAAAATATTTTTAAAACATCTCCCCCCCCCCCAATGAAACAACAATTCCTTTTTACAGGTGATATAGATTGTTATTTCACAAATTCAAACCAAAGCTTTTCATGTTTCGGGGGGGGGGGGGGGGGGGGGGGGGGCATATGTTTACAGGCAAAAAATGACAAAAATGCTCATTTTTTTCCACCAATTTCGAAGGGGTGTACAACTTAAATGTTGTTTTTTATCTATTACATATGTTTAACTTTATATGCGTCAAACATAAGGAAAGACTTAAAGAACATTTATCCATATCCAAGAATATTTTAAATTTGCTGATGCTTTCAGGCCTGATTTCAATGGAAAACGTCTACCCTCCTTATGAAAAGAGCTGGAATTAAGAGTAATTAACTATTGATCGCTGGTATTAAAATTATTAATCAATTAACATTGAACTCTTCTTTGCATTCAACAAAGATTTTATGGCCAAATTTCCATTACCGTATATACTCGCCTATAAGTCGGTTTTTTGGGAGTTAAATTTTGGTCCAGAACTCTAGGTCCGACTTATAGGCGAGTCACAAAAATATTAGTATTATCTGGATGTCGAAATGTAGTATGGATATATCATATCATTTATGCATTCTAAGATTATACCTAAAGTACAAGTATTTACATATTTTAGTAACTTTATTTTTATTTAAAGTGTGCATTATGTATTTTTCTTAATGATTTAAAATTAAATATCGGTGTCATTTCTAAGAATATTAACCGAAACCAGGTTAAAACATCAGAGCATTGGTTTGAAATTGTCAACTGATTCTAACAAAAAGTTGTACCGACTTATAAGCGGGTAAATGGCAAATCCCTAAAATAACCTCAAAAAATACAACCGACTTATAGGCGGACCGACTTATAGGCAAGTATATACGGTAGTATTGAATTAAATGGGTGTAAAATGTAGGTGGGAATCGAGAGTTAGCGTACGTAGTTTTTTGTTGTAATCAAAAGTATTTATTATACTTTTCAAACATAGGTAATCAGAGATTACAGAGCTCACCTCAACAAATGTTGTCTTTAAGTAAGGCAAAGTCCAACACTAAACTAATAATCTAGTAGTGTGCATCCCTAGATGCAACATTTATGCAAGTTTGGTCCAGATAGGCCTTACAGTTTCTTGGCAATGAACCTGCTCCAAAAACTTAAACTGGTCACTCATCCAGAAAATGTAGGTCAGATCCAGCTTCCGAAGCAAGTCCAGTAGTGCGCATTCTTAGATGTATCATCCATGCAAGTTTGGTCAATATGGGGCTTACAGGTAATTAGAAATGAGATCTGCTCCAAAAACTTTAACCTGGTCACTCAACCGGAAAATATAGGTCAGATCCAGCATCCGAAGCAAGCCTGGTAGAGTGCATTCTTAGATGTATCATCTATGCAAGTTTGGTCAATAGAGGACTTATAGCTACTTGGAAATGAGACCTGATCCAAAATTTTTAACCTGCTCCAGAAACATTAACCTCATGGTCATTCTTTAGCTGAAATTGCAGTATCTGAAATCTTGACTGGTACAATGAAACACACTAGAAGCATCCTCCATGCATCTCTGATTAATATAGGGCATATTAGTACTTGAAAAGAAATCTGCTCTAAAAACTTTAACCTGGGACGCCGAGGCCAACACCAACACTGACAGTATTACACGAGCTCCCCCAACTTCATTGAAGAGAGCAAAATATGAAATTTAATAATATTGACTTGATCAATCACCGTTGAAGTTTAAGAAAAACCCTATTTGTATGAATTCAAAAGTCTTGTGGGACTATTTTTAACCGTGTAAAGTATGGTGAAAAATCTGTGAAAAAAAAAAAACACAATTACTGATCTAGAAATGCACAGAATCAAACTTCCAGCTTTCTTCCTTGTGAACTTCATCCCAACATTATATGCACATTTTTTTTAAAAAGCATTTATCTTACTAGATTCTAAATATAGTTTTACCATAACTTTTGTTTCACCATATCTCAAAAAAGGTTCCTTATAAATTTTCAATCAAATAAAAATAAAATTTTGCTAACATATGTACTCATGTTAATTTAAAAAAAAAACCTTGAAAATTGTAATACAGTAAAACTTGTTTAGTACAAACACAGATAAAATGAATTTATGGATGTAGCAAAGTTTTTTACAATCCATAGTGAAATCCTTAACAATTCCTTGTAAAATTTTATGGATATAACAAATTTTGATATAGCGATATAGTTAAAACAAACTGATTTTGTGTCCCCTAGAAGTTAAAAATAATCTTTTGTAGTGAAATTTAAAGAAGAGGCCCATGGGCCACATCCTTCCCCTGAGCACTTTGGCTAGAAAAAAAGCAGAAATCAGTTCAGTATTGAAAACTTTCAATTTAAATGTGGTTTGATCTCCTATTGAGGCCTTGTCATACCTCCAGGGACATGATTTGAACTCATTTGAAACAGCTTTACCTGAGGATCCTTCTGAATTAATAAGATCGGCTTTGATGTTCTTGAGAAGAAAATTTTAATTGATATAACCCTTATATTTCATTTATAACTTTGAAAACTTTGATCCTCTATTGTGGCCCCACCCAACCCCCAGGGGTCATGATTTGAACAAACCTGAATGTACACTACCTGAGGACACTTCCATATTAATATGACTAATCACGGCTTTGCTGTTTTTGAGAAGAAAATTTTTCAATATTTTTTCAATAAATTCCTTTGTTAAACTTTTATCCCCTTTTGTGGCCCACCTAATCCCCGGGGGTCATGATTTGAACAAACCTAAATCTAAACCACAAATGGTTGTTTCCATGTCAATGTAACTACACAAGACTTTGCTGTCCTTGAGAAGAAATTTTTTCAAGATTTTATCCTATGTATTCCTTTGTAAAAATTTAACCCCCTATTGGTGCCCCACCCAATCCAAAGGGGTTATGATTCAAACAAACCTAAATCTATACCACCTGAGGTTGGTTCCATAATACGTAATATGAGTAATCATGGCTTTGCTATTCTTGAGAAGAAAATTTTTCAAGATTTTCTCCTATATGTTCCTATGTAAACTTTGATCCCCCATTGTGGCCCCACCCTACCCCCAGGGGTCATCATTGGAACAAACCTAAATCTACAATAGCTGAGGATGCTTCCATATTAACAAGATTCAACAAGACTGCCATTCTTGAGAAGAAAATTGTTAAAGATCTTTTCCTATATATTCCTATGTAAAACTTTGATCCCCCATTGTGGCCCCACCCTACCCCTGGGGGTCATGATCTGAACAAATTTGAATCTACTCTTCCTGAGGATGCTTCCCTATAAATATGACTAAACATGACCTTTCTGCTCTTGAGAAGAAGGATTTTTTCAAATCAAAGGTTTTTCCTATGTATACCTATAGATTTCAACGGAAGACCTATAGTGATTCTACTGTTTCTTCTTCTTCTTATTAAGGTCTTTCGTCTCAGCAGAAGATCTTATTATTCTGTTTCTTTTCAACTTTTTTTAAGGTCTTCCGTCTTCAGCGGAAGACCTTCTTGTTATTCTTCGGTTTCTTTTCCACTGTTTTTCTTATCATTTTTTTTCTTACCAATTTTGTGCACCCAATTTCTCGAAAACGGTTCGCTCGATTTTCATGAAATTTTCAGGTCTGATAGAACATTAAAAAATCTTGATACATATTTTTTTTATTTTGATGACGTCACTTCCGGTCCTAAGATTTTTGCGATTTAGTGATTTTTGGAGGGTCAGTTTGTCTGCAGGTTTTCTAAGAAACCACTCATCACAGGAACATGAAACTTTTAGGGAAGACAGAGCAATATATGTAGATCTGTAATACGTAGTTAACTTTCACCGGAAGTGCCACATGTCGACGCTTGCTATGGCCTGAAAAAAGTCATATCGAAAGTTTCAAAATTTCGAACACTTTCTGTACGATATCTTTTTACTTGGAAATATTTTGTTAAAACATATATAACAAAATTTGTGCAGAATTACAAGATCTTTTAAATGATATCTCAAAAAAAGGGCTGGCCCCTAAAATAAGGAATCTAAAGGGGCCAAAATATTTTTCCTGATATCTCAAAAAGTATTAGAATTTGTAATACTTCAAAGAAGCAAAGTTGTTCAACATGACAAGTAGCAGCTTGCGAGATCATCAAAATATGTCGAATGACGTCACTTCGATTCCGGCTAAACAGGAAGTAGTAGAAAATAGCTTATTTTCACAGATATTGGTACAGTGCTGCTATCCCACAAGTTGACATGGGATGGAATTGAATAGGATTCAGGATTGAGGATTCACGATAGAAACATATACTAATTAATCCAATCCAATCCTATCCTATCCTATCCTGTATCGTACAGCCTTCAGATTGGAGTAAAGGTTAATTCATATTTCAAAATAAATTACAGAAATGCAAAAGGACATAGAACGTTTACAAAAGAAATATTTATAAAATCACAAAAGAAAATAAACATTTTTTTTTCTTAACACACATTTATTCTATTACCTTCGAGTAATATGGCGTACGATCTAAACGTGAACGATCACCGGAAAAAGTTTCGGATGTAAACAAAGAAGAGATCGGACATCAAAAGATCATATTTCTTCAGCATGTTTGGATGATTAATTCGATTCCTACTTGTGTTACAGTTCAATAACATGTTTCTCTGTTAAATGTGCTCTGTTTGTCTGGATAATTCCACGAACCGTCAGCGGCGGACTATAACAGATCATAATCGCAGTTGTTTGGTGCAAGACCATGTAAGTATACTACATACTGTTAATGTGTGCATGTTTATACATATCTCTCCCTTTAAGCAATGTTTTAATGACTTGAACTATTAAAATTTTATTCTATTGTAATATACACAGAAATCGGATGCGGAAAAAAGAGGTTGTGTAGAAAGGGGACGGGTAGGGGGTTTAAATATTTACAAATACTTTGTCACATGATCAGATGTATTACACCTTTTTCGGTTGTTATTGCTATATAATCATTTCCCTACTGTTGTTAAAAAAATATTTTTTCTTATATGATTGCAATTTAAAATAATTAAATGCAGAATCATCATGATCATTTCTTATGCTACTGTCAGCAGGTCCAGCACAATCTCTTGATTAAGCTATATAGCTTGAAATAGCTATATAGCTTTATTAAGCTATTCAAAATAGCTTGATAAAGCTATTTATATGCAGATTTTCACAAAAATGTTATATGTACAAAATAGACAAAAAGTCGCAAGTATTTGACTATTCATATATGTAATATGGGTTATCAAATCAACAACCCAAATCAAAGACAGTTCAAACATTACAGCATTTGAATACTTTCAAGCAAAAGATGAATTTCCATTGTTTGGGTAACTGTACACTACCTTGTGTGCGGTGAGGCATGGATAAGTAAGATTGCTTCTCATTGTAATGAATTATTACCAATCAATTATCTTGTTGACCATAATTGGCCTCCTTTATAATTTCATTGAAGAAGTAACTGTATCAATTGCTTTATATAGCCCCAAATCTTTTAGAACTTTGAGTACAAAGTCTCTTTAGGAGATGCAATTTGATGAGTGATTTTTACATGCATTATTTTCATAAGAGTTCAAGGTTGAATATCATCACTGCACCAAGGTGCGACTTTTTGTGCATACTTGGAAAATAACACATTTGAGAAAAAAGTGTGATTAAATAGCTAAATCAAGCTATTCTGAATAGCTTAATAAAGCTATATAGCTAAATCAAGCTATATAGCTTAATCAAGAGATTGTGCCGGACCTGGTCAGGTCTGGTACAATCACTAGATTTAGCTACGTAGCTTGAATTACCTACATAGCTTTATTTACCTACCTGAAGTAGCTTTATTTAGCTACTAAATCAAACTTATTTCTTAAAGAAAATTTTTTCCCAGAAAGTGCAAAAAATTGCACTTTGATGCAGTGATAATTTTCAACTTTGAACTCATCTGAAAACAATTCATGAAAAAATCACTCTTGGAGATGTCTTTTTTGTGCAATTGCAAACAAAGTTCTAAAAGTTTTGGGGCTACATACAACAGTTAATGTGTGACCTAACAGTTACTTCTTGAGTGTAGAAACAAAGAAAACCAGTTTTGGATAACATGAGCACAATGTGAAGTTATCATACTTATCCACACATCATCGTGCACAAGGTGTGTACAGTTACTCAAACAATGGGAATACATATTTTCCTTAAAAGTGATCAAACGCAGCAATGTTAAAACTATCTCTGCTTTAGATTGCTTTCTAAATGATACCTAGAATAAATATTAGTAGATATTTTCTTGCGACTTTTTGTCTTTTTAAAATAAGAAGCAAAATTGTGCAAAGTTGCCTTGAAATGGCTAAATAAAGCTACCTGAGGTAGGTAAATAAAGCTACGGTAGGTAATTTTAGCTATGTAGCTAAATGTACTGATTGTACTGGACCTGACTGTGTATAATAAGCTCACTCAGCACTTGCATGTACATTGTATGTATGACCTATTGTGAGTTAAACATAAAACATGTAACATAAATTAATCATTTATTATTCTTCTTCATTCTAGAGAATGGTACCCAATTTTGCCTGCCCTCATCAGTCATCACAATATAAAGGATTTTACATTTAGAAGTAGGTACGATTAGATTTTTTTGTGTGTGTTTATGCATGTATCATTAAAATACATAAAAATCATTATCTCAGTTGAGATGAAGTGTCTGCAGATTTTATGAACAAGTGATTTTCTTCTTTTTAAAATGTTGACAGTAAAACTGAAATTAAAATATAATTGTTCTGGTCATCATGGTCATGTTATATGTATTTTCATTTTTTTTTTATATTCAAATTTCAAGCAAAAAATGAAAAAACATTAACAACATATTAAATAGATTAATACAAGCAGAAAATAGAGAGAAAAAAAAAATCCAAACATGTACTCATATTAGTTAGCAAGTCGACGAGATGAAATGAATTATAATCTACAAGTAAATTATGTAAATTATGATTGTTTAATTAAGATATGAGCTATGACTATGAAGTTGCAGTATAAGATTTGATTTTGCTTGATTTCTTTAAAATTAATGCATTACTCTGGGAGAGAAAAAGGTGAAATTAAGACAATTGTACATGAAATGAGAAAGTTAATCACCATCAAATACAGTATTAATGTATAATGTATATGACAAAATTTACAATATACATGCATATAATGTTGTGTGTTTTTTTCTTCAGGACAATCCTGCAAATTTGCAGCTGTACAAATTGCACTTATCTCATCTGCTGCTGGAATAAATAATGAAAGATTTTCAAACCAGTGTCCAAGAGCCCCCTAGAGTCTGAAATGAAGGTGTTCTTTATTAAGGAGATCAGTGTGTGATGTATTTGTTTTCTGTGCATTAATGACATTTGTGAAACTGTTTGGTTACTTTATGACCATCTCTCTGACAACTACTTTGACATTTGAAATTCAATTTGAGCGACGGACAAGCAGACCAAATAATATGCATGCAAAACATTATGCAATTGTAATAAGACATTGATAAACTTCAATTTAAACAAACTAGATGTACATGTATCTTTGAGCTTGGCATTGAAATACATGTATACTTTACATGGACACTTTAATGAATTTGTCTCATGATAATGAACATTCAATTGTTATACATTGTAAATATAAATTGTAGATAATATGTATTTGGTCCAATATATATAATTATATTTATATTCACTGAAAAAAGGAATTACCCTGAATAAACATTGTGAACTTGGTCATTTATTTTTATTCCTCATTTAGATACTGAATAACATTCAAGATCAAATGTCAAGGTCAAAAACAAGATTTACTTAAATTACTGTAACAACTGTGGACTCTTATGCATGTTTTATAAGATCTAAGGAATATGTGTGAGCTGACTACAAATATTATTGCTGTCAACCTGTCTGACTATGAAGATTTAGGAAAATGTTTTCTGTTAAACATAAATTGATTAAATTCTCACACATAAATATTTTTTTAATTAAGATACACTTGTACAGCACTGAACTGACCATAAATTGAGAACAAACTGAAGCGATCGCGAAATAAGAAATTTTAACATTTTGAATATCTTGATTTTTATTTAGCAAACATGATGAAAATGTTGCATGTTTGTAAAATATTCACATACAAACAAATGATGAACTGAACATTTCAAACAAGAATAACTTCAATAATAAATATAAAACAAATTTTTATCATAAATTTAAAATTGAATATAATAAGACAATTTAACTTATTTAATAAATGAATGTCAACATATTCTAGATCTGAATTTTGACTTGTCTGTTCTCGGTTTATGGTCTTGTCATATCTTGAAGTTCTTATTTAGATTTACATCAAAAGTAAAATCTAATATACAGCTGATATAGGTGCAGTTAGATCTACAGTTAAACTTCGTTATCTCGAAGTTGACGGGACCGTTGATGAACTTCGAGATATCTGGGGGTTCGACATATCGAGGGTTATAATTCAAATGAACTTGAAATAAACTTAGTGCAGTGAACATGTACTTAACAGTAAAAACATGTCAAATTCCTTCTTGTTTGAAATTCTGTATACGATTTCTTTAATAAACATGTACATGTATTTAGCAATAAAAAGATTTTTACATCCTCTTTATAATTTACAAAATAAAAAAAAATTGTATAATATGCAGAGAAGTATGATCTTTCTACCAACGCGGCATGTCAACCGCTAGCATCGTTTCCCATGTATACATAACCGGATATCGTCTATGCATTGTAAATTTAAAACCGGTCGCTGTCAGAATAACGGAAACGAAATATACATTTTCTTTTATAAGAAAAACATGTTCATACATGTATAATCAGTTAAAAGAAAATTATTTTATCATAACTAAATCAAATGCAAAAGAAAAATCACGCACTTTTGTCTAACAACAGAACAACACTGAATCACAGGACACTATAGCACAAGTTTTTACTGCGACACACGCTCACATGATGGTGTGTACGGACGATTGTAAATTCTGCACACTCATGTAGGAAAAATAAATTCTAATTGCATTAAATTACAGAATTTTGTTTTACTTCGATGTTTATGATTTTCACTTTCATATGCATAAACTATGTATGCGCGCATATTTCACATAGCATTAAATAGCGATTATCAAGATAAACGTACCCAAGCCACAAAACAACGTGTCATCCACGCCTATGCATTAGACCAATACACACAACCTTGGCTTGCATAATTAAAATCAGGGTAAGCCATACATACACTTCGTATAATTATCGCGCTATTATTTGTTGATCACAGGAACACAGGTAACCCGTGCATGACAGATAGGTGGGTGTTATCAATAGAGCGTCCAGTTTACCTAACGGACTTGATCATCAGTGCGGAAAATTATCCTGACTTCGAGATAACGCATGTGATTTTAATGAATGGGTACACAATTTTACTTCGAGATAACCGGGGTATTCGACATTACCGTGTTCGACATAGAGAGGTTTATTTTAATCATTTATATAGCAAATTTCGTCGGGACCGCAGCCTAACTTCGACATATCCGGGGTATTCAAGATATCCGTGTTCGAGATTTCGAAGTTTAGCTGTATATGTTCATGATGCCCAGTTAAGGGAAAAATAAAGTTTTGCATAAATTTTACATGAACAGATGAAACATACACTTGTTAAAACATCAAACAAATCCTACTTTTGTCATTATTTAGTATGTGTAGACATGATAGAGAAATTGTTTCTTCAATGGGTACGGTTATAATTCAGTGTACCTACCCCACATGAAAGATTTGGTATTCGTGGTCTGATTCTTATAAAGAGTTTAAATTTTGTTCCTTTTGTCTACTTTATCATAACATTAGAAAAGTATCTGCAATCTTTATTGTTTCCCCCTTTTTCTCTCTTTTCGTAGAGAACAAATTTGAAAAGAAATCACAAATACCTTGACGTCTCCCGATCATTGTTAGTATGTAAAATTAAACACAAATAAAGTTTAATTATATTTTTTCTTTAATTCTTCTTAATTCCAATTTCTTCACATGTCCGCTAGATCAATACTTGCCTGCGTTTTATTACAATCCTTTTGTTTACATTTTAACTGGTTACTCGCAAATTAATCTGTGAGAGGTGTCGGAAATTAATGGACGTCGATCTCAATTATTTTTTCTCCATGAAAATTTATTACATTTAAATTAATTACACAACTATAACTGATTTTTAATTGATGGTCATTTTATAATTTTTTTTTTCATTTTGTCAAATTAACTTTTTTAATATTAAAAAAAAACTGAGAGCAGCAGGATAGGATAGGATAGGATTAGACTAAAATCACAGGATAGGATTGTAGATGCAGGATTCACGATAGGATAGGATTGTCAACTTATAGGATAGCAGCACTGTATTGAATTGAATTATGCATGTCACAGAGGATGTCTGATTGTATTTCCTGTCGAGTATCGTCTCTTTTGTCAACTTCCGGCTAAACCGGAAGTAACTATAAATGACGTATTTCTGCAGATATCAACATAAAATCAAATGATTGAATTCAACCAAGACTTTTGACCCAATTTTCTATAGATTGGGGTCACTTCCGGTCAAACCGGAAGTAGTCGTGATTTGCTTTATTTAACGAAAATCAGCATAAAAATCATAAAAAACTAAATACAGATCGACATAATTTTTGATCTGGAGGCCTTCATTTTAACGAATACTTTACTTTCATTTATACATCTTACAAGCAGGGCTTCTGAAAATCGGACGGAAGTCCTACTCGTTGCTTTGCAATGAGCTTTGCTCTAGTTATTATTATTATTCTTACCGATTTTGTGCACGCGATTACTCGTAAATGCATCGATGGATTTTCATGAAACTTTCAGCAATGATGGCAAATTACATGAACTTAAGGAATTTTTTTAAATTTTGATGATGTCACTTCCGGTCGCGAGTTATACTTGATTTTCTCTTTTTAAATTGAAATTTTGTCTGTGCTTCTTCTCAAAAACGGTTGAAGATGGAGTCATGAAACTTTCTGGGATAATAGATCATGATCAGTACATTTGTCTCCGATGTCTCGTTTTTTCCGGCTTCACTTCTGTTGTCTACCGGAAGTAGCTTAAAAATATGCAATTTTTGATTTTTTTTAATTTTAAATTTTTATAACATTGACATATATAGTGTTTCAAGTCATTTCATTTCCACCGGAAGTTGTACTTTTAAACCGGAAGTGGTCGAAAAAATGAATATTTCTTTTATCCAAACTTTCAGGAAAGATTTGTACACACTCACTGTGGAGTTTTAAGTCGTTTTAAGCACTTCTTGTCATACAGGAAGTGAATTTGAAAGAACTGGAAATGGATTGAAATTAAAAGATATCACTCTTTCATGTGTTTCTAAATATATTTTTAACAATTCAATCGCCTATTTTATTCAATTATACTTGTTCTTCCTTCTATTCTTTTTTTTTGAGTAAATCTATCACAGTCAATATCGTAAATCGGACGGAAGACCTACTTGTTGCTTTGCAACGAGCTTTGCTCTAGTTATTATTAATGTTCCCCAAACAGAGTTTGGGAACATATTGTTTTTACTCTGTTTCTTATTATTATTATTAAGGTCTTCCGTTTCAGTCGGAAGACCTTATAGTGATTCTACTGTTTATTATTAAGGTCTTCCGTTTCAGACGGAAGACCTTATAGTGATTCTACTGTTTCTTTTTATTATTATTTTTTTTTCCCCCTTTTCTTGTCGGAGCGATTTCTCAGAGATGGCTGGACGGATTTTCTTGAAATTTTCAGGAATGATAGAGAATGAAAATACCCCCAGGCGTTTTTTTCATTTTTTCAAAATTCACTTCCGGTCGTCAGATATCTCCGATTTCCGTCTTTTTAAAAAATATTTTGTCCCAGTCATATCTCAAAAACGGTAAGAGATTAAGACACCAAACTCTAATGGTTAATAGATCTTGAGGAGTAGGCAAAACCATTTGGGATAAGAGCGTCAGCCGTCACTTCCGATTGTCACAGGAAGTGATAATAGAAATCGAAAATTTCAACTTTTCTTTTTTGAATGTTTTTTTGCATCACGTTATTGCATTTCATTTGTAATTTTGAAATATGTCAGTCCCACCGGAAACAAAAACGACAACTTCCGGTTATAAGAGAAAAACTACATAATTTGGGTATTTTTCTTTCCCATAAATATTTTTTTATAGATGACGTATTTGAACTGATTTTTACTTATGTTATTAGGACTGCAAATGTCTAGAGTAACGTCAAAAATCTTTGTAAAATTCACTTCCGGTCGCGCGTTTAGGTGTCCGTAAAATGAGAAATTTTCGGAGTGAGACCTCAGAAACGGTAAGAGATTTT